GAGCTTGGAAGAGCCTAAGGTGAGCCTCTCCAGTGGTTCTGCCTCTCCTTCCCTTTTTGCATCTCCATCTGCCTTGCAGGGCTGAGCTGGCTGGCAATGAGCTCCCTCTGAGAACGCAAGAGCTTGCCTGTGTACTCTGGAGAAACCCTGTGAGCCAACTTCAGGTGGCACACAAACTCAACCACAAAGGGAGCCCTACTCATTTCTTCCCCTGGCCTATTTTGACCAATTACGATGTCCCAACTTTGAACTGGCCAATTACCAATGGAAACACTAATGGACACAGCAGTTCATCAGCAATTATTCACAGGCACTGAATTAGGAATGATATTGTACACTGCCACCATGGCCAATATTCACATCTTCTACATCCTATGAATGCAAACTTATTTAGAAGTGTATTTGCCAGTGTAAACAAGTTAAAATAAGGATATTCTGATTTAGGGCAAGCCCTAATTCAATGACTAGAATCCCAAGGACAAGGCATTCAGACACAGCCACAAACTGGAAAGAAAATGGCCATGTGAAGAGAGGTACAGGTGGGGGTCACAGTGTCACAAACCAAGGCACTGTAACCAAGGACCCGAGTTCAATCCCCGGTACCAAAAAAAAAAAAAAAAAAAGAATTGCTGGCAACTACCAAAAGCAGGAAGAGGCAAGCAAAAATTCCTCTCTAGAGGGGAAATGAGAGCACAGCCCTTGCTTTCAGACATCTGGCCTCCAGAACTGCCAAGTGAGTAAGTTTCTGTTGTTTTAAGCCACCTACCTGATAGTAGTTTGTTGTTGAAGCCCTAGGTATCACATATAGGCACCAAGTTCATCATGAAATACTCCCTACAGGAAATATGTTTTTCATTGAAGGTACTAATTAACATGAGGCTTGGGCTGCAAGGGTATCGTGGGTTGTACCAACAAAACTAGTGTTTTTGACCCAACTTTCTTTTCTCACCTAGGAGATATATGTGTCCTGTCTCCAGTGGCGTGTTCTTTCTACCCTGAATGCCACAGCAGCCTCTAGAATTCCTTCTTAATTAAATGTCTGAGCCTTCTGGGTGATCTGCTTTGAATGTTCTTCCAGTCTAATGGTATTGCTTTTGTCTTCTCTCTCTTTAAAAAAAAAAATTAAGGGCCGGGGATTTAGCTCAGTGGTTCTGGCGCCTGCCTTGCAAGCACAGGGTCCCAAGTTCGATCCCCAGTACCAAAAAAAAAAAAAAAAAATTAAATTTTATTTTGAGACAGGGTCTCACTAAGTTGGCCAGGATGGCCTCAAACTTGCAATCCTCTTGCCTCAGCCTCCAGAATAGCTGAGATTACAAGTATGTACCATCACACTTGCCCTAAAAATAAAATATTTAAAGTATTCAGAGAATGAGAAATAATAGAATAAACACCCCTGCGGTCATCACCCAGAATTTCCTCCCTACCTTCCTATACTCTATTTTTCTCTTTTCTGCCATATTCCATTTCATATATTTCCTGCCTTGCAAGCACAAGGTCCTAAGATCGATCCCTGGTACTGGAAAAAAAGGGGGGGGGCGCTTGGGATGCAGCTCAGTGTGAAGGCCCTGGGTTCGATCCTTGATACTAGAGAGAAAAAAAAAAAAAGGTTGTAAGGGCAAGGCATGAGGGTGCACACCTGTAATGCCAGCACTCTGGGAGACTGAGGAAGGAGGATCGTTAAGTTTGAGCCCAGCCTGGGCAGTTTAGAAATGTAGTGAGACACTGTCTCAAAATAAAAAAATAACAATAAAGAAGGGGCTGAGGATGTAGCTCAGTGCGGAGGCCCTGGGTTCAAATCACCACTACAGGAGTGAGGGGTGGGGAGGAGGTGAGCATGGAGAGACCTAGGGTACAACACACACCCACAGGGTGAAAATTAGGTGGAATTTAAGAGGGCAGACAAGGAATTATTACCCTCAAATAATTTATTTCTAGTACCTCATTTCTGTAATTTATTTATTTGTTTTTGTTTTTGAGAGAGGGGCTTGCTACGTAGTTCAGGCTGGCCTTGAACTCACTATGTAGCCCAGGCTGGCCTCAAATTTATGGTGACCCTTCTGCCTCAGCCCCTCCTGAGTGCTGGGATTATAGGCAGGCACCACCACACCCACCTGTCTCCACATTTTAGATACACTCTTCCAGACTGAACCTATTTTGGTATTTTTGCCTTTAAAATTAGAAATTCATGTCGGCATGGTGGTGCATGCCTATTTTCCCAGAATTTGGAAGGCGGAGGCAGGAGGATCTCCATGAGTTCAAGGCCAACCTGCACTACAAAGCAAGACCCTGTCTCAAAAAACAGAAAACAAAAACAAATTAGAAATTCTGGGCTAGAAGTTTAGTTCAGTGGTAGAGTGCTTGTCTACTACATGTGAGGCCTTGGGTTTGATTTTCACATGGCAAAAAACCAAAAACAAAATGAGCAAAATACCTCCCCAAACTAGAATTTCTTTCCTCTTGAGCCTCCCTTCAAAATAAAGTGAGCTACTTCCCATGTGGACTGACAGAAGAGAGAGAAGTATCAAGACAAAAACCTGGGCATGAGTAAATAGCTTTCCTGACACCCCCTTTGACTCCCTTTGTCTCCTTACTGCCCTGCAAAACTTCCCATTAGAGGATTTTATGTTGTTGCTGTTGTTTTAAAAATATTTATTAACGCCTGGGCCGGGGATTTAGCTCAGTGGTTTTGCCGCCTGCTGCGCAAGCACAAGGACCCAAGTTCGATCCCCAGTACCAAAATATATATATATATATATTTATTAGCTCCTGGTCATAGATTTCAGTTTCCTAATTTTCCCTTAATTTAATATCTCATTAGAATTTCAAGTTACAAAACATTTTTAGGAACTATTTTTATTGTAATTTAGGGTTTAGCAGATCATTCCAGAGATAAGCAGAATTACAAATAAAATAGTCTAAGGTATTTTAAAAAATATGTTTCCATTTGGTAGGATTGGTAGAAATGCAGTGAATGGAAATGATACTGTTTTTCTCACTTCTCGTTTGTTTTGAACCACAAGCTCTTTTCTGATTTAGGAGTCTTTCCTGCTCAGCATTTCAGTGATAATTCTCCCCATGGTCTACAGGATCCCTGTTCTCCTTGTTTCTATAGCAACAGTCCTGTGTTGCTTGGCTAGAAGCAATTTTCTGCTGCTGTGGTGAAGCCCTATTTTTTTCATTCCTTTCTCTGCAGTTGCCTTGGTAACTAGCCTCTTCCTTTTCTGGTCTCTTGGTGTAAAATTCTACCCCCCTCTTTTTTTTCACTCTCTAGTAACAGTCACCTGGTCATGACTTGGACAGAGTTAGCCCATCTATGAGTAAGCATACTGTATCATCATCAGATTGTCATCATGAAATCAGCCTCCCTTTTCCTTTATTTCCATTATGTCTCTGGCCTGCCATCTTTCTGGTGGTTGTCATGGTAACCATACCCTCTGAAAGTCTCCAGGCAAAGGCTCTACAGTTAACAACCATCATGTGAAAGTGTCTGCCAATATGTGGCCACACATCTCCATTTTAAATCCAGCCCCAGGCGGGTACCACAAATTAGAGAGAACCAGTCTTTTGATCAAGGCAGGCTGGTTTGAGAAGGACCCAGAACCGGGGATGGTGCTCTCTAAACAATATGTGTGTGTCTACAAGATTCATGCTTCTTTAAGAGTGGCTATTATGCCAAAGGAGATTCAAATGATTCAGAAATATGTTGGTAGTCATTTTAGGCAGGGCTGTCATAGGCTCTGAACTTCTAGGGGTCACTCCTTTGGCGGGCGGGGTTCCAGTATGACCTGAGAGGTAAGTGAAGCCAATCTTGGGGAGAAAGCAATTAGAATTCCCCCGCCTTTTTTGTAGTGCTGGGGTAGAATCCAGGTCCTTGTGTCTGCCAGGAAAATGCTACACCAGTGAGTTACATCCTAGCCCCAGTTGGCTAACAAGGGGTTAACAGTATAGACATTTAGGGATTTTTACACATTACTGAAAAATGCTATGCCCTTAGGCTGCTGCTATTACCTCTTTGGAGAGGCAGATGGGATGTTAAGAGTATTATAATAATAGAAAGTGTTCAACAAATGGTGGTTGTTATGTGCCAGGGCATCGTAGCAGGCACCTTTCAGACATTATTTCATTTTCTTCTTATGGCGATTCTGAGAGGGATTCCACAATAACACTGAGGATAATAGGTGAATTGGGGGCTGGAGGTGTAACCCAGTGGTAAAGCACTTGCTTGGTATCAAGAAAAAGTTAATGAAAGAAGGTCACGCAGCTGAAAAAATCAGTTGAGATTTCAAGAAGTCTGGTCCTCTCATCCTTATTTCTCCCACTCCCACTTTAATCCGAGAGCTGTTACTACTGTATTCTTTCTGCCTTCCTTTCATTTCCTCTTCTAATTTGGTGGGTTGTTATTTATTTGCTTGTTTTTCTGTTTTCATCCTATCTCTTGCATCTTTTAGTTAAGGGGCTGGAAAGTTTTGTCCTGCCCTCTGATTCCCTCTGAAGTTGCACTGTGGAATGAAAATATTAGAGCAGCTGCCCTTGCCTGAGAGCCAGGCAGGTCTGATTTCCGAGAATGCCACACCCCCGAGCTCACAGTTCCATAACTAAATAGGCAGGTCTTCTGTCCATTGAACGATTATTGGGTGTCTCTATTCGGTGGTACCAGGTACTGTGCTTGGCACTGGAGATTTAGCAATGACTTAGAAGAGTTTGTCCCTTGATTTCATGAAACAGCCTAAGGTAGAAGCCAGACATTAAGAGGCCAATATACAATTTTATATTGTAATGCGTGCTATGAAGAAAAAGAATAGGGACAGATCTATTTTAGATGGAGCTGCTTGTAAAGAGAGCAGATAACTGAGGTTCTGATAACAAGTAGATGACGGCAGCCACGATGGGAGCTTGCTAAGCTTGGGACCTTTGTCCCGTAGCTCGCTCCTCCCTCTGCACCTTCCCTTTAGAGCGCTAGATCAGCGCCGGCGCACCGACTGTTGCCATGGGGACAGCTGCCCCGGCGCATGCGCGAATGTCTCCAAGATGGCCGCTGCGGCGGCTGCAGCGGCTGCACGAGCGGTTCCTGTGAGCCCTGGGCTTCGGGCCTTGAAACGGACACGGCCTCTTGTAGTGATTCTCGGGGCTACCGGCACTGGCAAGTCTACCCTGGCGTTGCAGCTAGGCCAGCGGCTGGGTGGCGAGATCGTCAGCGCCGACTCCATGCAGGTATGGTAGTGTGGCTGGCCGCAGGCCTAGGAACCCCGCAGGCCACATGCAGGCTTCTGGAGGAAGGAATGTATCCCCTGTCGCGTGATCGTAGTTTGTGAACCCCAGGCCTTGGAGTGGGGCAGGCGTTAGATTAGAGGATCTGTTTTGTGCCAGACGTCCACTATATGCTAGGCGCAGTGCCGAGTGTTTTCCTTTGATCATCTCATTAACTTTTCACATTACTTCTTGGTAGTTCTCTTATCCCATTTGCGGGGTTCTAGAGAGGTGAAACGACTTTCTTCATGTCACATAGCGAATTAAGTAGAGATGAGGAGATGGTGTTTGAATCTACATGGTTGACAAATAGGTATCCAATAAATTTTTTTTTAAGACAGAGTCTCGCTGTATAATTCATGCTGGCCTTGAACTCACTATGTAGTTCAGTCTGGCCTCAAATTTGGGGCGATCCACCTGCCTCAGCCTCCCAATGCTGAGATTTCAGGCATATGCCACCACACCTGGCTCCAGTGAATACCTTTTAAAATGAAAATTACTCCAGAGCTTTTGCTATATATTCTAACCTTAACCCATCGAGATCGGGATATATTGGATGACACGCTAACGTGTGTCTCCTGGGACAGTGGAATAGAGCAGTTAGGAGACCTGAATTGTCTAGAATCTGCCATTGGCCACGTGGCTTCAGATTAACAGTGTCCTTTATTTGGACGTTATTTTGTCTGTAAAGTGAAGAAAATGTCACCTTCCTCATTAATAAATGAGATCATAAGTGTTACGATGGTGCAGGACAGCCTGCCCTGAAGGTCAAGCATGTGGTAAATGCTTGCTGAAGCTGGTGTATTTAACCTTACTAGCTGTTGTGGCTTGTGTCTAGCTGTCCCTCTAAAGCCTTATACAGTCTTTTTTGAAGGTAGCTAAATCGGGAATGTGTGATGCTAGGATTAAGGGCTCGTGATTACTAAACCGCTACATGTGAGTGATTGGTTTGACACTGCCCTAATCCCGGCAGTCTGAAAAAGATAAAAGGAGCAGAAAGACACTGTTAAGGTCCCTTGTTACCTTTGCTTACCTTGTGCGCATCATGTTGTTTCTCCCCTACGATGCCTGTTTGCCATCCGTGCTTTGGAACCAGCCGATTATGTACTGAAACCTCAACAAACTGTGAGCTAAATAAACCCTTTGCCCTTTAACTTCTGGTGCCAGGTATTTTGTCTCAGCAACGAGAGAAAAGTAACTAACACACTAGCTGATCCGATTTGAGGACGTTTTGTCTTTTTCTTTGAGCTTCAAGACACAGAAGGGGGGTTGTATTCTTTCCTTGTGGGAGCATTTGTGTTTGAGAATGAGAGACATTTTGGGTGAATCGGATTTAAGAATTACGACAGCTATTTGAAAAGAATTTACAGTTCGGAGTCTCAGAGTAAACGGAATGTTGGAAATGAAATATTTATGGCTGAACCTAGCATCTGATGGGTACTCAACTGGGAAGGGCAGTTCTCCTTCAAACCAGCCCACCAGCCTCCTGGCCAGGTTCCTACCCTCATTAGTTCATTTGGGATGAACAGATCATCTGAACACATTGAAATGGTAGGATAACTCAACAAACATTTGTTTGCAGCCTACTTTGTGGCAGCTTTGGGAAATAGATTAGCTCAAATCCCAACACTATCTTTTCCAAACTATGCAAATTCAGCATAACCTCTTCATGCCTTTGTATCTTCTGTAATGTAGGAAGATAATATCAACTGGACATTATTGTGAAGTTAATACAATATATGGCACATAATAAGGGCCCAAAATATGGTAGCTGCTATTATCTGCAAATCATTGCCGAGATAAGACCATAGTCTCTGTATTTAAGGACTTTTGATCTGGCTAAATATGAAACAGAGCCAGTAAGTGTTTGAATAGAGATATAGTACTTAATGATGCTTTACAAGGTGGACAAGATTGGGGAAAGAGACATTACATACAAGTGCTAGATTGTATGATAAACTGTTAAATATTACAGAATTCCTGAGAAGGGAGAAATCAGTAAAAGCTGGCATAGTTACTGAAAACTCTTAAAAAAGTGCTTGAAAAATAGGTCAAGCTAGATAAGAAAGAAGAAAAAGCACCCCAAAGAAAGGAGCACGAAGACTTAGGTGAAATGGTGATGGTATATATGTAGGACAATGAAAGGAGACTTCAGGAGGAAGATAAGTAACATGATGAAGGCAGTGTGTACACCCCATTCACGGTGAGCAGTACTCCTGATGAGTTGGATTTGGTAGGGGGCACACAAACCGTTCAAGTGTGGTGTAATAGATCTTTGCCCTGATACCTCAGAGTCTTGATTAATGTGGGCTTCAGTAAGACGGAATTACACCGATAATATCTAAGGATCATTCCTGTCCTTACGTTCTGTAATTTCTATAGTTCTGGCTTGGTACAGTGTTAGTAGGGATGAAGGGAAAGAGGAAGATGTAGCATTTTGAAGGTGATAGCATGTTACTACCTTACTAATATGAATTGGTCACCGATTAGAGAAAGAAGAGAATAATGTGCACAGCATGATTTCAGAATTCAGGTTTGGGTGCCTGGGAGAGTAGTGAACCTGAAAGTCAGGAAATCTTGTGGGCATTGTGGCGTGGCAGCAAAACATGCACAAAGTCTAGTTAGTGGATGTTTGGAGAATGCTACAGACATTAACCCACTACAGGACTCATACACTTATTCCTTTGCCTTGTGGAATCTCTGCTCTTTCATAGCCATGTGACTTGCTACCTCTCTTTGTTCAGGTCTTCTCTCAATTGTCACCCCTGAGATACCACACAGTCCCTGTCCAGAAAATGTTCTTGATAAATCATCTTAAGTTCACATCTTATTTAATTAGTTAATTATTGCAGCACTGGAGATAGAACCCAGGGCTTTCACACTGAGGTATATGCCTAACCCTTTTTTTTAAATTTTAATTTTTAGCCAGGGATATAGCTCAGTGGTTTTGCCCCCTGCCGCACAAGCACAAGGACCTGAGTTCAATCCCCGATGCCAAAAAATAAAATATTTTAAAAATAATTTTAATTTTTAATTTTTTTTGGTACTGGGGATCGAACTTGGGATCTTGTGCTTTTGAGGCAGGCGGTGGCACCACTGAGCTAAATCCCCAGCCCTATCCCTAACCCTTTTAATTTTGTTGGGTTTTTTTCTTGTTTTTTTTTCTCAGTACCAGAAATCGAATTCAGGACCTTGTGCTTGCAAGGCAGGAGCAGCACCACTGAACTAAATCCTTGGCTGTTGGGTTTTTGTTTGTTTGTTTGTTTGAGACAGCATCTCCTTATGTAGTTCAGGCTGGCCTTGAACTCACTGCATAACCGGCTGGCCTTGAACTATGGTGATCCTTCTGCCTCAGCTTCCCAAGTGCTGAGATCACAGGCATGTGCCACTGTGTCCAGCTTCAGAAATGTTTCTTTCATTAATTAATTAATTAACTTTTCTGGTGTGTACTGAGTATTGAACTCAGGGAGCTATATCTCCTGCATTTTTTTTTTTTTTTTTTGAGACAAGGTCTTGCTAAGTTGTCCAGGCTGGCCTTGAGCTTGTGGTCTTCCTGTCTCTTGTGGTCTTCCTGTCTCAATCTCCCAAGGATTTATAGACAGGTGCCAATAGACCTGGCTGTCAGAAATATTTCTTTACTCACAGCTGTGTATCATAAGGATAAAGTTGCTAGATGTCTCACTCAGCAGAATAGGCCATGTCCGTGGGACACTTTATACCTCAAATAATGCGAATGATATGGTAGATCCTTCATGTTTGGTGAAATATATTTATTAAAATAGTACACCTTAATACATTCACATTCTTCCTATGGTTATAAATAACTGCAATATGACAAATTTCTTTCATCCTCGGGATGCCATTAGGATTAATAAATAACTGAAAAATACTGAAGATTATTGAACTTCCTGAACTGATTATACATTGTGTTTAATTTTGATTACATCTTGGATATTCATAACATTTCTTCTTGATCCCTGTTGGAAAACTTTGACCTTTGATTTTGCTTTTAAGTCCAAATAATGAAGTAGAGTATCCATGTCCCATTTACTTGGGTATGCATAATTCTTCATTTCTGCCCTAGCTCACTGTCCCTTCTCTGTTAGGGGAGTGCTGCTCTGCTTGATTTTTAGCTAATTTAAGGAAATGTAGCTTTTCAGTGACTTGAGGTTGATTCGGATTGTATTTGGCAGTCGAGCGTGGTGGTGTGTTCCTGTAATCCCTGAACTCAGGAGACCAAGGCAGGATTGTGAGTTGGAGGCCATCATGGGCTACATGAGACACTGTCTCAAAAAACCAAAAACAAACAGCAAACAAAACAAAACAAAAAAGTCCCAAATTTGGTAAATATGTGAACAAAATGACTTTTTTTTTTTTTTGGTGGTACTAAAGATCAAATCCAAGACCTTAGGAATGTTAGGTGAGTGCTCTAACACTGAGTTTATACCCCTAGCCTGAAGAAATGAGTTTTAATATTGGCTCACCAGCTCCTTGAAAGAACATTTTCAATTTCAAATAAATCCATAGGCAAAATAGTAATAGTGATTCAAATTTGTACAGCACTGTTTATAAAATGCTTCTGCTTGCTGATGATTGAACCAAGGGCCTTTGCACTGAGCTATATCCCCAGTCCTTTTTTTGAGACAAGATCTTGGCAGGTTGCTAAATCGGCTAGGCTGGGCTGAACTTGTGATCCTCCTGCCTCAGACTCCCCCCCAGAGTGCTGCTTTTATAGGCATATGACACCATACCTGGCTTTTAAAAATGAATATTTGCCTTTTAAAATTAGTTAGTTTTTTGGGGTTTTTTTTTCCTTTTGGTACCGGGGATTGAGCTTGGGACCTTGCACTTTTGAGGCAGGTGCCGGAACCACTGAGCTAAATCCCCAGCCCCAGTTAATTAGTTTTTGAGATGGATGGAGTCTTATTGTGTTGCCCAGTTTAGTTTCAAATTTGTGGGCCCAA